GTGTCCATGTCTTAACCCTGAAACCTCTGAATGTGTTGTTGCATGCAGGCAAAAAAGAAAAATTAAGATAGAAAAAGAATTACATTCCCTAAACTTCCTGACTTTAGAATAAGGAGATTAGTCTAAATTATGGGTGAGTCCAATGCAATCTCATGGGTCTCTAAACACGGAAATAAGAAGCAGGAGAGACTTAGTGTCAGAATGGTACGATATGAGAAGGATTTGAGCAGCAATTGCTGGATGAAATATTTATTACAGAAAAATGGCTATGCTTTGGGATAAATGTTCCCCAAAAGTCTATTGTTTTAAAGGCATGGGTTTTAGGAGATTAATTACAGGAGACAGTACAACCTCTGGAATTTGGTTTCTGTCTCTCCTTGTAAAAATGGACCTTACATAATAGTGTCTATTTTGTAGCCACTTCATTGCAGAGTATCCTTCATTCAAAAGAATAAAGCACTCACTAACATCAACACTGCTTTTAGGCCATATGAGATGTGGGCATTCTCATTCTTTCATGGACACCTGCCCCATCATTAAATAAGTTGGAGAAATTTTAAGAGGGATCCCTATCTTAAGATGGGAATAAGTTGTACTAACCAGTAACCAATACCCACCTCTGATGTATGGGGAACACAGATGTAACCAGATGAACTGCCCACCTACGTATAACCTAAATTGTTGACCCAAGGAATGTTGAGATAAATAATGTTGTCTTAAGCTACAATATTTGGAGTCTTTTGTTATGTAGCAGTAGCTAACTGATACAATAGTTTTTATGGAGCCCTATAAACTCTCTGAAATTGTGTGTAAAATTTGGTGTGCATTTATGTTTTCTAGGAAGAACTTTTAATCTTCAGCAATTCTCAGAAATCTGTGATCCAGAAAAGATTTGTAAATCATTGCCTTATTGGTATGATGATAGGTTTAAACACAGGCTAGATGTTAGATCCATTTACCTATTGAATGCAAGTATTAGATTCTTATGAAGATGACTAATAAACTGGATAATTTTAAAAGTGTTTTTATATATGCATGTGTGCTATCCTATGCATGCATTTTTTCAATTACACTGGAAATATAGCGTCTCTTTTCCGGTGTAAGCAGACATACTTTGGTATCAAGTAGCATGTAATGCTTATGTATTTTGTGCATTTTTTTTATGATTGAGTGCTACAGTATTCTATTAAAAGAGAAATTTCTATCACTGATGCTCTCATTAAATTACCTTGGAAGATTACATATTTGTTGTTCTTTGAAAATTTTGTTGTTAAAATACCCTTATGAACCATGGCTTTCAATTTTTAACTCTGAAACAGTACTTCTGTTTTCATTGTGAGCTGATAAGTCATAGTCATCAGACGACCCCCTTCATAGGTCAGTGATTGGGAGAATAGTAAAACCTGTAGCTAATTAAAATAACCAAGGCTTTGGGAGTTGTATAATTGTGTTAAGGTTGAAGACCTAAAATTTTACTACGTCTCTGATGTTGTGGGGTGTGTCATTTTCATTTGACATCTCTGATGTTCTTTCATGAGCTGATGAGGCCAACACACAGAGCTCTTCTTGAATGTGTATGATTTGCTTTGCTCTGACCCATCAAATGCTGAGAACCACGCATTTTCCCCAAACTCAGATCTTCTGGCTCATTGTCAGTCAAGTCATGCCAGAGCTTCTAGCCAATAAAAGCATATAGGGAAAATAAATTTGTCATAGGAAAAGTACAGGAAAGTGTTCACTTTCGGGCAATGCTACAGTAAGAACACTGTTAGGCTGCATTTCACAAATGTTACAAATAAAGTGCCTTGCCAAATATCTTTTTAAACTCTCACTTGCTCTCTCTCTCTCGCTTTCTCTCTTTCTCTCTCTCTCTGTTAATTAAAGCACAAGCACTTTTATATACTTCCACCCTGCAATGAGACCCAAATTTAGTTCTACACCAAAACCCATCAAGATTTACAAGACTTATTTGCTTGGGAACCAGGATGGATATATGTGAACACTTTCTGCACACATGACTCAATCATGTTTTTGCTAGCCAGCTCCCAGGTGTGAGGAGGAGAGAGAAGTGGAGATTGAATTTCAGTAAAACATAGCAGGTATAATGGTGGTCCCGGAGAAATACCTCCTTTTTATTCATAGAGTAACAGGTCGCTTCACTGTTTTCTTTAGCATTTTACCTTCTTTACAGCTTCAAATAAGTACTATATGGAAAGTGTGCTCAAAAGACTACACAATGGCTGGAAGAAATCCCAACTGGCTGGGAATAGAGGCTCTTATCTTTCTTTGTTCTCTGGAGTATAGCACAATAATAATAATGTTTCCCTTCTTTTTGTCTCAGAAATTTTACATAACAAATAAAAAAGAGAGTAAGGCAATGTACAAAAGATTAACATTCTAGATATTTGAATTTTTTTTCAAAGGCACCATTGTCTATACACAACTATCAGGTTGCAGGAAATTTGGTTTCCTACAACCAAGACGTAGAATGCAATAGTAATAGAAATTTGAGATGTCTTTCAGATACTGTATATACCACGAAAATAATTTCTGATGTTGCTATGACGGGGCAGGACCATTTGCTGGGCTGGTGTGTTGATGCTGTGAGGAACAGGTGGCTGAACTCAGTGAGACAGTGGCAGTAGGCAAAGGAAGTGACACCTACAAGTCAGCACATAAAATCCTGCACATAAAACCCAAGCTGTCTTCAACCAGTTGTAAGAATTCATTCACCCCTTTCCTATTCCCCAAACCACTTGCTTTTTGTTACATCTGCATGCTCTCCTTTCCCTAGCAAGGTGGCCATTAGTGTTTGTTTTCATTAGATTATTATCTGGATAAACACTTTGGATTTGGAGAATAGGTCATACACAATGTGTTTTGCCCTGACCCACATATCTCCTTAGGGAAGGATACATTTATTACATATTCTTCCAGAAGAGAAACATGATTTAGAGATTGCTGTTATGCTTGTCCTGGGAGGTATGTGTTGGACTGAAGAAAATCCCACACAAAGAGATTAGGCACAAGTTGCGGTCTGAAGTTGCGATATTCTGTTTCCTTTTATTTCTTTATTTTAAAGATATTTCGCAGATTTTCCTTTGCACTGACTCGAAATAGACTTTTGAAATCTTATGATATTTTTCAGCTGCCTCTACACTTAGTTTTTGGGTTGGTTTTGTTTCCTAATTCTGTGAAGAATTAGGAAATTAGTTGAAGAAGTGTTAAATACCAGAAAAGTTATTTGCTTGCTATATATATAGCAAGCAAATTATATATATATATAATGTATATATATAAAATTATTCACAACCCACACACATACATACACTTAGATAAATTTGTTTCTAAATGGATTCTAAGTGGCTAGAAAAGATACAACAATTGCTATACTGTAGATAAATTTATCTGGATGACTCCTTTACCAAGACTTTAAAGAAAAAAATCTGCAGTACTTGGAACCTGATATTCTTTGCTTAAAAACATTCTGTGCTGTAAAACAGTTTTCAACTCTTTCTAAAATTTACTTAATCTTTATTTCAATTCTACACCAGTTCACGTGAAGCAACAGTGCAAATCAAAGCTGGGGTCCGAAGTGCAAACAGGTTTTTGACTCTAAATTGTTACCACTGATCTTAAACTGGATTTGAAACCTAAGGCTGCAAAAATTTTCTTATTTATGGAAAGTTTAGGGGTTCATGTATTTATAATTTGAATTACGTTTTAAGTAGTTTTGGACATGTTGATATTTGAGAGAAATTAATGGTGAATGTTTTCCATTCTTTGGAAAGAATTATCTTGGAATTAATTTTGGGTGTAAATCCAGACCTTCTTGCATTGTTAACTTAAGTGATTAAGTCTTTTGGTCAAAAGTACCTGCATGGAAAGTGCAGGGTTGTGAGTTTGATTCCCAGTACCCCACCCCAAAAGTCTTATTCCAGCCATGCTGCTTTAACAAAGTACCTTACACTAGGTAATATATAAACAATAGAAATTTATTGCTCACAATTCTGGATGCTGAAAAAAGCCCACGATGAAGGCACCAGCATATTTTATGTTTGCCAGGTCTCACTCTGCTTTAAAGATGGAGCCTTTTTTTTTTTGATGTATACTCACATGGCAGAAGGGCAAAGTGCTTGCTTGAGTATGTTTTGTGAGGGTATTGATTCCATTCTTGAGGGTGAAGGCCTTAGGCTTAATCACTTCCCAAAAGCCCCCCCTCTTAACACTCTTACACTGGCTATAAGATTCTAACATACGAGTTTTGGGGGGACATTTTAGTGCTAGGGTTAGAGTTAGAATATTTAGAACACAGCAGCTGTATACATCATTTCAGCAGACTCTTTGCTTCCTACCTAATATCCATATCATGAGTTTCCATTATTATTTATGATAAGTACAATATTCCAATGTTATCTCTAAAACTTTTATACTAAAGTGTCCACAGTGATAGGAAACATGAACACTAAAGTAGGGACCTGTGGGGCTTAGCCCAAAGTAGACCATATCATTCAAAATCTATTCAAATGTTTCACCTTAAATATTAATGCACAGTTTAAACTGTGATTTATAATTATTTTAATTTAAAATGTTTAAAATTACTTACCATGTATAAAAATAGTGCCATATGCATATTCCATTCTGGTATTAACATGACTTGAAAGCAGCAAACAGGAGTCAAGTTCTTCTGCACTCATTCTTCACATATGCAGCAGGTGTTTTTCTAGTGTTTAATCAGACCAACAAATGCCATAGAGGGTGCTAGCCATAAAGAAGGCATACCATTTTTAAAAATTATTTAAAATTTGCTATAGAAGGGGCACATGTGAGCTTCTACCTGTAAAAAATTATATTAGTACTTTGATACTTGTTTACAGAATATGTTCAGGGCCCCCATACAGGGGCAAAAAAATCAAGAAAATTCCATAGAGGAGACCTGTCATAGTTTATGTCTGTGTTGCCCAGGCCTCATGAGTTTGCATTGTGCATTTGTGATTGGTTCATTGTCTAGTGCTTGGATTGATGATGTCAGTGCTCCACCCACTTAGGGGTGGAGCCAGGATGTGATGTAATGGCAGGACGAAGGTGTGTCTTGCTCTTTGCTGGTGCCTGCTTGCTGTTGGCAGCCACCATGAACTGCGGCCCAGCCATGCCCGCCTGCCTTGGAGCCAACTAAGTGTGGACTGAAACCTCCCAAAACTGTAAGAATTAAACCTTTCCTTTCCCAACTTGGGCTTCAGGTATTTTATCTCAGCAAGGAGTAAAAAGCAACTAAGACAAGACCATATCTATGACAAATACCCTGCAATCTTAGATGTTCACCAGAATGAGGAGAAAAGGCATTCTAGAAAGATAAGCAGTGTAAGCTAAGGCACAAAATGTGAAAGGCTCAGAGTTTTGGACGTGTTTCAGTGCGTCTCTAACTATCCCTCTTTATCACTGTAGATGAAGAGGGATAAAGTAGATGACACAGAGAGAGGCCAGACTGTACTAGGCTTTATATGTCATATTTCAACAGATATTTTATCTTGTCATAGGCCCCAAAAGTGTTCCAGGAAAACAACTGGCATGATCAGCTTGGCATAGTGGATAACAATTTGAATAAAGCAGAAGTTGAACTATGGCAATCATCCAAGGTTAGGTAAGTATGGCAGGGTAATTATAACAAGAGTCCAGATGCAAAGTGACAATAACCTGATCCATACTAATGGACAGTGAGAAAGGGACTTAAACCAGGAGATATTACAGAGAATTTGGAAGACTTTGTTGTCAATTTCATGGATAGCTTGTGAGAGAAGATCAAAGGAGGGAGGACATAAAATGACTCCCAAATTTTGACTTGGAGGGTGGCAAATAGTGCCCTTAATTTAGAAACAGACTATTTGAGACAGATCATTGTGGTTTATTTTTTTACTGATCTGGGGGTCAACACAAATGACCAATGAGAGTCTCCACTGTGGGTAGCAGAAAGCCAGGGGATGGTGGATGTGACTCAGACCTCTGATTCACACATAGTGGATTTCTGCTTGGCTTTTTAAGAGAGTCAACTGTGACTGCCTTGCTGACTGAAGTACTACAAGGAAAGTAGGATTTTCTACCTTTGCTTTTGGCCACCCACCATTTGAAATCCTCAGGCTTTTACTTTAACCAAATATTTCTAACCTCCGTTAACTTAATGCCAAATTTACATCCTGGCCATTTTCCCCTCTCCTTTTCTGTGTAGGCACTTCAAGTTGTCCAGCAGCCTCTGTTAGGCTGACTGGCCATACTTCCATAAATCTTTGGGATAACATATGAGCAAAGGAAAACAGATATAGGCAATTGTTACTTTTGACACAGTAGATAGAATGCGCTTCATGTTTATATCATTTCTTATTTTCCAAGTCTTATGCTTCACATGGTGGATTCTAAGCATGCAATGGTCTTCTGGAGTTGAGGAGTTTTGCATAAAAAGATCTTCCAGTCTTTTAAAGGGGTTGATAGTAAGGTGATCAACCTTTATTCCAAGGGAGAAATTAACTTTATTATTCTGATCAGGAAACATATCTTCCCTTGGATCCAGAGGGAAACATTGTTTTATCTAGGTTTGTTTAGATGACTGTAAGACAGTTTTATAGATTGGGTAGCTTGTAAAGGACAGAAATTTATTTCTCTGTTCTAGAGGCTGGGAGTTTGTGATCAGGGTGTTGCTGTTGTTAGGTTTTGTTGATGGTCTTCTTCCAAGTTGCAGGATAATGACTTCCTGTTATGGTCTTGCTTGGTGGAAAGGGGATAGAGAGTTCTCTGGGGTATCATTATGAAGGCACTTATCCTACTCAGAAGAGCTCCAACTTCATGGTTTTATCAACTCTCATCTCTCAATGGTCATGTCTTCTAATATTATCACATCAAGAGACTGAAATCTGAACATGAATTTTGAGGGCACACAAATTGCAATTGCAGCTTCTATCTTGTAGGATTGTTCTTTATATTCATACTTTGAAAAGATAACTGAGAAGTATGGGAGAAATGGCGTGGAAAAATTATTTCTCAACAGTAGCTAATTGCCAGTTTCAATTTAGCATTAGTCAGTTTATGATAGTGAAATTAATATTTAATTTTGGAATTAAATTAATAGGGTGTTAAGGTAACTACATTAAGTAGGAAGCCAACTATGAACTTAGAGCACCATGAAAATGATAATATCAAGAAATTTATCAGCTTTTCATCTGTAAGTGTGGTATAAAGTCATTGGAGACAATGAAGCTACCTAGTAGTCATATAAATGAATGAAATGACCATCATGAAGAATAGAAGAAAACTTGGGTATCAACAATGTTTATAGGATTAGAAAAAAATAAGAATAAAGGAGGAATGTAAGAAGGAACGGTCAGAAATAAGAAAGGGAATTAGGAGCGATATATGCATTAGAATTCAAGGGAAGAAAACATTTCAAGAAACGAATTGGCAGTAGTATCAAACACGAGGCTAAAATAGATGAGTGTAGAACTAGAAAAGAGGTAGAGCTCATTCTAGACTGGGGAAAGAAGAGTAAAACTGGAATGTACAGAAATTGCTGCTGGAGGTCAGAGACAAAAAGAATGCTCATCTGGGAACTTCATATTTCTCTGTAAAACATGATCGTCTTTCCAAAGGAAAGACAGTGAGCATAGGAGTGAGCGTGGGAGGACAAGGTGATAAAGAGCAGGTAAAGACAACTAAAGAGCTAAGGTGTTGGGGAGTACATATTGGAACACTTTTCATTTGCAAATTTTACCATACTTTTGTAAATTTGTGCTTTTATTTTTCTTCAAGACTGTGCAGTAAAACAAAGCAACTGTAATAACAAACAAGACAAAGTAAAACAACCAGTCATCAAGATGGAGCTGCAACCTAGTTACTTAGTCTAGACGACTAACCTGGCAATTTTTCATGGTGAAACCGAGGGAAACACGAATGGTGAGTAATGCACACCAGAATTAATGTGGGAGAGAAGGTAATGAAAGCCTTCAGTCATTGGGAGCTCCATGGGGAGTAGGGCAAATTGAGCTGAATTTTCTTTGGCTTCTGATCTGAAGTTTGTCTAGAAAAGGCTTTTCGAGGAAATGAGAGAAACGCCAAGAAGGGATGTGTGCTAACTGTGGGGTAGATAAGCCTTTATATATACTGTACTTGTCCAAATGATGAAGCCGTAGGGACACATTCAAGTCTGTAATTGTAGCCTTATTATCATTTTAAAACATTCACATGGGGTATTTATTGAGCATCAGCCATGTGTGGGCCTCCATGTTGCCCAGAGTCCAAAATTTGGTAGAAATAGTGCCAGTATTTATCAAGTGACTCCAGCAAAAAAAAAAAAAAAAAAAAAAAATCTGATCTTTACTTTTTCCGCTATATACCACCAAACCCATATCCAAATATCCAGACTCTTTTAATGTTATCAGAAGAGATCAGACATTAGGCTGATATCCTTCATGTCCACGCCAATGAGTTTAAAAACAATCTTGCATTAATGGAACAGAAATTAGGATGAACAAAACTTTTGTTGTCTGTGTCCATGATATTCACTTGGTTCCTCAGGTTATAAGCTAAAGGGATGGGGGTTATATACCATGGGTGCAGCTCCTGGATTTCCTACTGTGTATATGTATGTATACCTCAGGTACCTGGAGCACGGGAAAGACTATGTATATCGTAGTAGTACCTGAGCAGCTGAAGCTCCTGGGAATCTTGCTAAAGGCAGATGCATAGACTTGGGATGAAGCAGGAGAATTTATATTCTAGCAAGCTCTCTGATGATGTTTACAGTGATGGTCTAAGGACCAAATACTTTGAGTAGGATGGTGTTACATTACCTAGACTACTACATAGACTACTAATGGGGTTAAAAATATATATATGTATGTAAGCCAGTAGTTACAACATCAGAAAGAAACAATACAGCCAGGTATGGTGGTGGATACCTGTAATCCTACCAGTCAAGAGACTGAAACAGGATGATTGCTTTGAGTTTGAGACCAGCATGGGTTGCATTGTAAATTCAAGGCCTATCTGGAATGCATAAAAGACTATGTCTCAAAGAAACAAAAATGAAAGCATAAAATAAATAATAAATGACAGTATTCAGGAAATATTTTCCTTATCTTTTGAGAAGATTCACATTTTTTAGTTACTCAATAGTCTTCATATTGACTGTGCCCGCTTAGCATTCTCTGTAATGAGTATTCAGCAATTAAAAATAGCCACAGTATTTACTAGTGAGAGATTTGTGATGAGGTCATTTGTGCTTGATAAATGTATCCTTGGGAATGTACAAAAGTTTGTTTTTAATGTAACGATCCTTGTGAAGGAACTGGATAATTTCTTGAGAAAGTAAAGGTTTTTCTTTCTTTCCTTTTTTGCAGTCAGAATGGCAATAGTAATTTTGGTGATCCATCTATTGAGATTTATTAAACTGCTTGTGAATTTAGCCATCTGAGGAATATAATGGTTCCTTATTTAGCATCTACTTCCTCTTTTTAACTATCATAAACTCACTTTTGTAACCGTATAATCCCATGTCATAGAGCTGTGTGCCTAGGGACCATGACAGCCTGTTCTAACAGTGAGTCTGATTTTTTATTTTTTGCAGGGGGAATTCCATTTCTTTTGCAAGTGATGGCTTAGGAATGAGATGTGAAAGCTTCCAGGGGACTTCTAGGATGCATTGTCTCTGTTCCTATGAGAAAGTCATCATCTACAGCCAGCCTGAGATTAAAGTTGCCAACAGTGGAAAGATGAATGGAATTGATGACATCTTTAGCTTTTGACTTAATCAAACCTATAACCTTACCTACTTCTAGACTTTTTGTCATGTGCAATAAGTTACTTTATCTTTATTACTTTGGTTTGAGTTCTCCATTACCTGCAATTGAAAACATCTTTCTTCTTTCTTTATGCTAAGTAAAGTTGCAAAGAAGGATCATAATGTATTGGAAACTTATAAACTATTTTATTAATGCCATATAAACTCAGTTTAGTTACATTGCAATAATCAATTCCATTGATTCTCTGCTAAGTTAATATATAGATTCCTTTTTAAATGCATACTTTGAAATATTATCATTTAAAGCTTAATTTTCAAATTATATTCATAAATTTTAGAGCTGAGTAAGCATTCTAAAATATTTTTTTCCATTTTGTGAAATTTTTGAGCGTCTGATGAGTAGTTCCATCTTATTTGTGGATATGTCTACTGTTATCAGGTACATCTGAGAAAACAAGTTGAAGCAACATACATAGTATAGCTCACTGGTAGAACATTTACCTCACATGTGCAAGGCCCTGGGTTGGATCTCCAAGACAGCTAAAGAAAAACGAAGAAAAAGTCACCATGAATTCTTTTTGCATATTAAGCACACATCACCTGAGTGGAAGCTGTGCACACACGAAAAACCAAAGCCCACACTGCAGTTCAAGATGATGCTGTGCTTTTCACATTGGCTTCTCCCAAAAGTAAACAGTCTTAATTTGTTGGCTATTTTTTGTTAAAACTCTGTTTGTGTGTATTGCAAGACATTAATCTGAACATCTGCACTGCTGGGTACGATGCTATATGAAGCTCAGGGATAAAGAATGGCTTCTTTATGATACCACGAGGCAAAACCCTAGTGAGAACCATTTATTATAGAAGCCTCCTATGTGTGGTAGGTGACAGTGGAGGTCTGGAGAAATTCTTGCAAACATTTTCAAATATAGTGTTACTGGTAATTGGCAAGAGAAGAATTGACTAGGGAGTGTTGAACCAGAAAGAAGAGTAAAATGCAAAATGATAGTGAAAGAGAAGGAAAATGTCCCTATGTCCTAGTCTACCAACTTGTGCATTAAGAAAGTATATAATTCCCTTGGCCGGCTCTCAAGCTGACATATCCTACATGGAAGACAAAGGTTTTATTGTGCACAAACCACTGCATTACTTAAGTCTCCTTTGCCAATAGAGAATGCATGCAAGGGACTAACTCACATCAGTTTGGAATTTAATTAAACCACTCAGTGCTGGCCTGCAGAAGCTGAGAATAAAATTTATTGGGGGAAAATATACATGTGGACAAGTTTTACATGAGGCTTTTACATCCCATGCTTAATGTCAAATGCAAGGCTGTCATTTATAATTTTTGCACATTGGGCAAAGATACTGTATCTGATTCAAGGGGTGAATGAGTGGGATCTACAGTCAAAGCCAACAACACTGGCTATCAAAGCCAGCCAAATCTCTGACTATGGGCTACATTTGCTAGGGATAAGGGGATACATTTTTTACTTCCTGTAAGGACATTTCCCCTCTCTCTTTCTCTCTCTCTCTCTCTCTCTCTCTCTCTCTCTCTCTCTCTCTCTGTCTCTCTCTGTCTCTCCCTCTCTCTCTCTTCTCTCTCTCTCCCTCTCTCTCTCTCCCCATGGTTTTGTAGTCTCTCTGTGACCAATGTTGATCTCAAACTCACAGTCCTCCTGCCCCAGCCCCCATCCCTCTCCAGCGGTTGCAACTCTAGAGACATGCCACAACCCCTGGCTCCAGAAATCTGCTTTCTTTAAGCTGTGTGCAATCTTGGTAGGGGAGTAGAGGTGCATCTTTCAGTAATTTACCAAAGTGCAAAACATTTAAAAAAAAATTTACCCATGGTGTTGAGATGATTTTTGTAATTTGTCTACACAGAGAGCACACTTTTTCCTTATTTAGAGAGCACACCTTTAACCTATTTGGCACAAAGGCCTATGCAAGCTAGCAGCTGCCTAGTTCACGATGTATTATTGAGCCTCTGCTCCTAAAAGGCCAAAACAGAGGGCAACTAACCATTCAGGTACCATCTGTAGGCAAATTGCTCTTCTGCCTTGAGAACTTTGATTCTTAGGGTACATTGGGTAATCATAATATTCTAGGAACTGGCCTAGCTAATATTCTAGAAACTGGTGACAGGGGAGTGGGTGGCAGGAGGGAAGAACACGTGGAATCTGTAACCCTACCCTTCTGCTGCCACCCAGTGTTCCCTTGCTGGTTTTAGGAATGTAAAGTGAGGAGAGTTCATGGGGAACATTTTTTCTTTTTATTGCACATGGACTATTGCAAGTTTATGAAAGACCAGAGAGGCAGTGAAAACAAAGCCATTGAAAGCACAAGCAAATCACAAACATAGTTTCTTTTCTCCTTCCACCTCTTTCTTCTTAAAGTTTTAACAGGAGTGATTGTAATGCAGTCTAAATTATAGCCACACCCAGCTGGGGACAACAGTCATCGTCACTGTTCCCAAGAGATGACAAGACTAATCTCTTGGCAGCTACAATTATAAATAAAAGAGTTTAAAAACTCATTTATTTATTATCTTGCTTTGTCAATATTAATAGAAAAACATGTTCCTCAAATAATTCTGTTCTTCACCATAGTGATCAATTTGTTTATTTACCCAGTTGTTTGCCTCCCCTTTTCTTGACAGTTCCAGCTCACTGAGGAATGTTCCTCCTTGTTGCGTTGGTATTGTGCTTGGCATTGCCACTGTCTTTGGCCAATCACCTTTAACTGTTGTGATGAAATATATTAAATTTTTTGTGATGGCATTCCTTTTCATCTGCCATGCGGCCTGCATGTGCCAGACAGAGACTGCTTCTCCAGCTTGGGTCTGAGAAGGAGAAGACAGGCGGAGTGGAGTTACAGCCTACCTGTACCTGCATGTAACATGAGTGCTAAATAAAGCCTTTACTTTATAAACCCCAGAGACTGGGAGATCATTTGTTATTATAGCAAAGCTGACTAATACAGAAATTAGTAACAAAAGTGGAATATTGCATAAGAAAAACCCTAAAAGATGCAGCAATGACTCCTTAAAATTTTTTTTTATTATTTTGAAGGTAGTAAAATACAAGAGAACAAGACAGGTCAAAGCCAATTGAGACAGTGCAGTGGAATTGGTACAGAACTTCACAGCAGGTTACGGGACAACAGCAATAGGCACAATAGTGTATCTCGTTATGTTCACAATAGTTGTTCGTTCAACCAGGCATAGCAAAATCAAATGAAATACAGAATATTTTAGAACTTATCAAAACAGAATATTGATTACAGCATACGATTAATCACAACAAAGCAAAGTGATAACATTTGCCTTCAAAGAGATGGTAGAAAGAACCCCCCCCCCCATTTGCTATATTGCATATGGTCAACCTCCCGAGAGATGCTCAGACTTCTGGCTCCCATTTGCGGGGGAGGGAATGGGATGTTTGAATCTCAGCCTCAGCACTAGTGGGCTCACTGCAACTTGATTTCCCAGAGCCCTAAGTTCAACATGGCGCGGATCTCAGGGACACTGGGTGGTTCTCCCTCTGGGGCACCCACCAGTTGCTGGAGTCACAGCTGCTTGAGCGAGGTGAGCTGGTTGCTTGGCTTCCCGAACCCTAAGTTCCAACATGGCATGGATCTTGGGAGACACTAGTTGGTTTTCTTCAGCATTGACTTTTGATCCGTAGTTTATTTAAAGACTGTAAAAATGGCAAATTTGTGCTATACATGTGTTTGTTATAAATGCTGTGCACAATAGTTTGGAGGTAGAAAATATATTTTATGTACTTGCGATTTTAAGTTATGATGTGGTAAAGCAGAATGTCAGAATGGTGTGTGTATGGTGAGGGGATGAATTACTATTTAAGACAAAAGCAAAGCTATGGCATCCCCACATCTCTATAGATAAGATGCTACCTTCGAAAGATACTTAGCCACAAGGGAGGATGTATTCTCCAGTGGCCTCTTTAGACATACAAGAAGAACGATGCAAAAGAAATGCCCTCCTGAAGGCAACAGCCAAGAACCATGGAGAAAGATGTGCTGGAAAATTACTTCTAGGGGAGCAGAAGTCAGGTTCTATCAGAGTGTTCGCTTGGCACCAGAAGAAATTTTCAAACTTATGCACAATTTAAAATTGCTATTGATGCCCTCTGTGGTTCCTCCCCTTCCTGAAGAGTGTTTGTTACTGTCATCTTGCTCCTGAGCCACTATCATGCATTCCTTGATCAGGTATCTTTTGTGTTTCAATCTGTGTTCAGATCTAAAGCAGACACTATCAGACAATTTTGATTGCAAGGCTGTTCTTATTATTGCATGGAATTTCACCTATGGAGAAGAAGGAAGCAACTCTTCATGGGTCCCAGGGTAGATTGTAGCAGATTGCATTACTGTCCTTTTCCTCAAAGAAGGTTATTCATCCTCATCCAGTACCAAGAGATTTTCATCAAATCTCCTCGCTTTACCTTGCTGCCATAAGAGGAGCATATTTTATGGGAATAAGCCAAGACCACCCAAATGAGTACAAACCAGAGACTATTTATTTGGAGTTTGCTATATAGCAAGGGAATCAACCACCATGACTTGCACTTGTCAGCGATTCAGAGGCAGGGAGAGGAGTGGGAAAAAATAGGGGAGGCTCCAGGACAACTCTGATTGGCGGATGTTGGCAGGAGGAAACTGGAGGTTGGTCACGAAAGTGGAGCATCTTATGTGGTTGGTTTGGAAAGCCTATTTTGCTTTCTCTGGTTGATCTTGAGTTGGAAATAGGAGCAAAAAAACTGGGAAGCTGGCAGTCATTGATGAAGCCCTAACTGTTCTGGGCTGATTGCCGAGGAGGCTGTGGTCTGGGCTGGCCGGTTGCTGCAGAGCATGTGAGTCAGAGTTCTATTGCATAGATCTGGCCATTATCCACTTGTACATTCAGTCTTTCTAATTCTCTGACTAGGTGACATAGAGTTTAGCAATAGGACACCTTTAGCTAGCAGGACGTGAGAGGACAGGGTATGTACTGATCCACCTTGAGAGAAAAGGTTTAGGAGCCTTTGTGTGCTTGATTCTGGTCCTCCTTTTCATCTACCATGAGAATGGCATGTCCTTCAAACAGCTGCCTCTTCAGCCTGGGTCCTAGAAAGTGAAGACACATGAAAATGAAAGCAGAGCCACAGTCTACCCTCTGCCAAAGACACAGCCGC